AGTTGTGTGATGATGTCATTTGGCAGTTGTGTGATGATGTCATTTGGCAGTTGTGTGATGATGCCATTTGGCAATTGTGTGATGATGTCATTTGACAGTTGTGTGATGATGTCATGTGGTAGTTGTGTGATTATTTCATGTGGTAGTTGTGTGATGATGTCATTTGGCAGTTGTGTGATGATGTCATGTGGTAATTGTGTGATGATGTCATTTGGCAGTTGTGTGATGGTGTCATGTGGTAACTGTGTGATGATGTCATTTGGCAGTTGTGTGATGATGTCATGTGGTAGTTGTGTGATGCTGTCATTTGGCAGTTATGTGATGATGTCATTTAGCAGTTGTGTGATGATGCCATTTGGCAATTGTGTGATGATGTCATTTGGCAGTTGTGTGATGACGTCATGTGGTAATTGTGTGATGATGTCATTTGGCAGTTATGTGATGGTGTCATTTGGCAGTGATTTAATGATGTAGTCACCCTCCATTTTGTGATCTGACGTGGTCATCCTCTATTGTTTTGTTACCCCGGTTTTCCCATAATAATCTGATCACTGGTTCCTAACCATGTCAGTAAGTAAGGAGTTGTTGTTGTTTAAGTGCCGTCGAGTCAATTCCAACCCACAGCAACCCAGTATAGGCTTTCCAAGGAGCAAGCTGGTGAGCTTGAACCACCAGCCCTGCGGTTCAAACGACTTTGCAGTCTTGTGCATTAGCCCTCAGTGCCACACTTGGACTCCAAGTAAGGTGTAGGTGTAGTCTTTAAAAAGAAATTAATGTTTGAAATATATTATGCATGAAAACCAGTGTGCTTGCTAAATTCATTTATTAATTCCAATAAATTGTATGAAGATTCTTATGGAATTTCGACACACATGGTTATGCCATCCGGTTTTCCCCCCTGCATAATCATTTTACATTAGATTTCCTTTTTCTTACCTTAATACACTGGCTAGGATTTTCACTCCAATGTTTAATAGAAGTGGAGGTAATTAACAGTCTTGTTTATTCCCTATCTCAGAAATAAAGTGTGCAATACTTCACCACTAAGCATGATGTCTGTTTGAGATTGTGTTAGTTTAGGATAATGAGCTTTCTTCTAGTCCTAGGTTGCTAAGAGATATGCTTTAAATTATCAGTGGGCCTTGGATTTGATCAAATGGTTTTCTGCATCTTTTGAGTTGGTTATATGTTTTTTCTTACTTGTTCTGTTGATGTGATGAATTTCGTTGATTGATTTTCTGATATGTTAAACCAGTCTTGCATGGCTAGATTGAACCTCACATAATCATGTGTCTCTATATAGTACATTGGATTCAGTTTCCTAGTATTCTGTTTAGGATTTTTACAGCTATGTTTATGGGAGAGGTGGGCCTATGGTTTTCCTCTCTGAAATACTCTTGTCAAGGTTGCATTGTCTCTGAAAGTGAGTTGGGAAACGTTTTCCCTTGTTTAATTTTTTTAAAAAATGATTTGTATAAAATTGGTACTATTGCTTCCATAAACGTTTGAAAGAATTTTGCCAGCTAGATCCAGAAGTTTCTTAGTGGGAAGTTCATTAAAATTCCAACTTTACTTCATTTCATAGATATCAGGTGATTCGGATTCTTTATTTCTTCTTGGGTCTGTTTTCATATACTGTGTGTTTTTAAGAAATTGGTGTATTTGCATCTAGATTATAATTATTAAAGTTATATGTCAATGTTTCAGTGTCTGGTAGCATAGTGGATTACAAGCTGGACTGCTAACCGCAAGGTCAGGAGTTTGAATGAACCAGTCGCTCGCTCCGTGGGAGGAAAATGAGGCTTTCTGCTCCTGTAAAGATTTACAGCTTCTGAAAACTATACAGGGTCACTCTGTTGGAACTGAATCCGTGGTATACAACCATCACCACCACCACCAGGATCGATAATGATATTCTGTGTTTATTTCCTGGCATTGGTAATCTATACCTCCCTCCTCTTTGCTGTCTTCATCTGTCCTCATCCTCTTTACACGGTGTTGTCAGTTTCTCAGTTTTATACTTCTCCTCAGAGAAGTAAATGTTGGCTTTGTTGATTTAGCTGGATGTACGTTCAGTTTGTGTTTCACCGAGTTGTGTTCTTTTATTATCTCTGTCTACTTTCAGGGGGTTTAACTTGCAGTTTTTCTAACTTCTTAAGAAGAGGGACCTTCTGGATTTCTTGAGGCTCCAGGGCTCAGGAACACCATCAATTCCTGCTCGTTTTATTGGTTATGGCACAATGCCAACCAGATCCAACGAGTGAGGAAATGGACTCCACCTTGTCTTTTGTTGTTGTTGAGAAAATGCACACCAAAACACAACCCCTCCCTCGGTTTCTACATGCACAATCCTCCACGCTCCATAACCGTCTTGACCTCTTTCTCTGAGTGACATTAACTTGCTCTCCCTTAAAGTTTCCTGACAAATCTTACAAGTTGCTGTTGTCATTTGATCCCACTTAGATAGTTCCTTAAAAAGCTCAAGGTTCAAAGCAGACATGTGCCCATTTTTAACCTTCCAAAGTCTTCCCTCTGTTCATGATTTGTTCCACACACCCCCCCAATGCAAGATTCATTGACCCCTCCAAGATACTGAGGCATCTCATTCCTTAGACACAGTATGAGGTTTGACGACTAACAACGTGTGATCTAGACCCACCTTCATTTTCCCAGCCTCTGCCCAAAGCCAATGCCATACGTTTTAAGATTTCGATATGACAGTACTCACTCCTAAGTGCTAATTCCTTTATCTACTGTTGCATAGCCTGCCGCACCTAAATTGAGTGGCTTAAACAAGCAACTGTTTTCTTGGCTCAAACTCCCATGGATCAGGTTGAAATGGTGAATGTTTTGTTATATTCTGTTGTTGTTGTTATGTGCCGTCGAGTCGATTCCGACCCACAGTGACCCTGTATAGAGTTTCTGAGGAACAGCTGGTGAGCTTGAACCACCGACCTTGCAGTTCAAATGGCTTTGCATTCCCACAGTGCCACACCAGGACTCCTGTTATGTACTAGGGGGCTTCAAAACGGTTTGTGGAAAATGGAATTAAAGGGTCCTGGAGTTTCTCCACAAACTTTTTGAAGCACCCTCATATATTTCACCACAGTAAGAATGAAATAAAAGGGTTCTATAGGTCAGCCGGTGTGGCGCTGTGGCAATGTGCCAGACTGCAAAGCCGTTTGAACTGCAAGGTCGGTGGTTCAAGCTCACCAGTTGCTCCTTGGAAACCCTATACAGGGCCGGTATGGGTCAGAACTGACTTGACGACACTTGACAACAACAATGGGTCAGCCAGAGTCCTGGTGTGACGCTGTGGGTTAATGCACCAGACTGCAAAGCCATATGAACTACAAGGTTGGTGGTTCAAGCTCACCAGTTGCTCCTTGGAAACCCTATACAGGGTCGGTATGGATCGGAACTGGCTAGATGGCACTTAACAACAACAACAACAATGGGTCAGCCATTTGGGTTTGGCTTTGCTGGGAGGTGGTTCCGCTGGCTTTATTTGGTGGCTTCCTAAGGGGGCTGGGTGTTGGAAGGTGGCCTCACTTGCAGGACTGGAGGTCGGGGCTGGCGGTGGGCTACATCTCCTCAGTTCTCTTTTGACATGGCCTCTCTAGCCAGCTAGCTCCGGCTTTTTCCCATGACCACATTCCAAAAGCATGTGAGCTTCCAGGAGAAACCGCATGGAGAAGGGATTCCTTCTGCTAGGATCTTACCCCCTCGAGTCTTGGACACCAGTGCTCTTGGTCATCCTCTGTTCCCCGCATGGGGAATGGACAGATCCCTGAGGACAAACGCAGCCTCGGCTAGATGGCTCGCCTAGCCTTGCTTGCCTTCTTCCTGGGGTCTTAGCCACCATTTCAATCTAGCTGCTTTAGGTGTTTCTGCAGAAAGTCCAGTCAGATGCGAACAGATGCTAATTTAGAGTCTCTCAGCCCCTGACTGCCCGCTCCTTGTCCCTCCTTGGGATGCAGCCTTGAAGGTCTCCATCCTTTAGGTTGCGTCTTGTCATGTTTCTGAAGGGCCCTTTTTCTGTGCGGGGACATGGGATGAGCAGCCCCAATGGTCACGCATACCCCCCTCTCTCTACTCAGGCTCCGGGAACATCATCGGATCACCATCAAAGTCATCCGACGAATGCAGTATTTCGTGGCCAAGAAGAGGTTTCAGGTGAGTGCATCCCAGTCTCCTGCCCTTGATTTCTTAAGGTGGGTGCATCTGGGTACCTGGAGTTTACCCTTGTGGGTACAGAACTCGTTGTTAGGGTGGGGCTGGGGCTGCCTCCAACTCACCAGCTAACTCTATGTGAGGCAGGTCCTGTGGTACCCACCTTGGGTGACCATTCCCTCCCAGCCACCTGGGACTCAGGTCCCCAAGGAGTAGGGGCTGCCAGTGATGGTCCTGCCTGTCTGCTGAGTACAGGGGCAGGAGCCCAAGATTCAGGGCCCAGCCCTGGGAGTGCAGGCCTCCCCCTGGCCACCTCACTGCCCTGACCCTCAATCAGACAGGAAACCAGTGGGCGGGAGATAGGGACACCCCAAGAGTAGCGGCAGGCCCGTAGCTGCACAGGATAGCACCCGTCTCTGCTGTGGGGGCTGACCCTGTCTCTCCACTCACAGCAAGCTCGGAAGCCATATGATGTGCGTGATGTCATAGAGCAGTACTCACAGGGTCACCTCAACCTCATGGTGCGCATAAAGGAGCTACAGAGAAGGTGAGGGGGCGAGGGGCGGGTCGAGAGACGGGGCACAGGCGAGGGGCGTGGGATGGGAGAGGGTGTAGTCACAGGGGTGCACTAGTCTGGGCAGGGATGAACAAGCTTGTGTAGAAGGGGAAGAATGCCCGCATGCTTCTCTGGGCCCCACACTTGAGGTCGGTTTATCCCCCCACGTCTGCCCGTATCTGGGAGACCACAGTCCTAGGCCCCTGCTCCTCAGGCTAGCCTGACCCCTCTAAGAGGTCCTAGAGGGCAGCCCCCTGACCTTGGAGTGCCCTCCACCCGCCCATGCGGGAGCGGCGCTGCGCACAGTGGCCCAGCTATCTCTTGCCCTCCCCACAGGCTAGACCAGTCCATTGGAAAGCCTTCCCTCTTCATCTCCGTCTCAGGTATGCATGACTCTGCACTCCCTCCTTGCTCTCCAGCCCCCACCCCATCCCACCCCTACCCCCACCCCCTGGGGTCAGGGGGGCTCTGAAGGGCAAAAGGCCAGAGAGGGCATCGGCCCCACCCTGGGCTAAAGGTCCAAATAGACTTTACAAAGAAGGTCAAGTTGAGAAGGAGCCCACCAGGGTCCCTGAGATCAGGGTCTGGAGTGGAGCCTGACCTGAAGGAAGGTCGTTTTCCAAAGCCCAGTTCTGTGTGGAGGCAGGACCTACGAGTGGGCCTAGTGAGAGGTTGTTGTTGTTAGGTGCCATTGAGTCTGTAACCAAAGGTACATCATCAGAGGCTCCCCTGGACTTGGGTTTGCGAAATGAGGAGAGCCAACAACAGGTGGATGAACTCAATTCTCCAGCTCTAGACCTGGGATTGTGAGTCACACCAGGAGAGGATGGGGTCAAAGCCCATTCCTTGGGGTTGTCCCAGTCCAAGTTCAAGTGGTAGCTGTATTTCCCAGCAGGGGCTGGCTCAGCTGGGACAGCAAGCATTCCCTGACCTGGGAGGTGGAATTGTAGTGAAGGTGATCCCGTGGGCACCTGTCCCCATAGGATGAGTCCCAGAGGTCACGGAGCTGTGACGAAGCCATGCCACAGCTGTGGTGGCTCAAGCCTTGCCCACTCCACCCCACCGCCTCCTAGACTCTCTCCGCCCACAGCATTAGAAGAGGTCCACCTAGGCTCAGTCTTCCAGACCCATTGCTTGTGCTTCCCCAGCCCCACTGCTAACACACAGACCTCTTAGTTCAGTTCTTTATCCCACAGAAAAGAACAAAGACCGCGGCAACAACACAATTGGCGCCCGCCTGAACCGGGTGGAAGACAAGGTAGGCGTAAGCCTCCTCCTGGCTTGTGTGCTCAGGGAGGAAAGGTGCTGGCCACCTGCAGGGCGCCAGGCAGGAAGAGGGCTCCCATCTGTCCCAGTGAGGGATGTTTGGCCAGGGAGCAGGGCCAGATAGAGCCATGCTGGTCCTGGACCTTCACCCCTACAGACCCAGGCACCAGAAGCCGGAGACCCAGAAGCAGATGCATAAAGGAAGTAGGGGTCTTCTGTCGGTCCCAGACCGGAAATGCCTGCGCGTCAGCTCAGGGTGGACTGAGTGACGGGGAGTGGACTAGGGTGTGTGCCCAGCAGTACCTTCCTCTCAGAGGTTTGGGCAGACTGTACACCCCTCCAGAAACTGGCCAGGCCACAGGATGTCCACCACAGGCCTCTCTTCCTAAGCTCCCTTCTCAGGACCCCTCCCTGGCATCTCTCCCTGAGCCCTGGGGGGGCCTGGGGTCTGGAAAGCCCTTTCTTAGACCCTCCGGGCTCTGCTGCCTTTGAAGTCTCCGTGGTCTGGAGCGGGCGTTATCTCGCTAAACAACGAGTGTGTCTACACAGTTTATCTGGAAGTAGCTGAGAGGCTAAAAATAGAGAGATGGGGCTGGACCTGGAGTGTGGCTGCCCCCGGTTGCCTGGGCAACGCCACCCGGTGGGTGGGGGAAATGGGGCAGTGTGTGCTCAGTGTGCTCCTGGGACAGCTTCAAGGCCCACCCCTCTTGAAACAATCTGCCCTAGCCCAGGGCAGCTGTGGGGCTGCAAGATGGGGCCAGAGGTCCAGTGGGAAGGGTCCCAGGTACCTACCGATGCCATCCAAGAGCCTCTTGGTGGGCAGCACCTTCCCCAGGCACTGTCCCCATCTGCTAAGTGGGATTTGGGACTCAGGAGAGCATTTGAGGATTGGCACAGGGTTCTCTTCTTGCTCTGAACGCCCACACCCCCCCCAAGCAGCCCCACTGGGCAGGTACCCTGTACAGATGGTCTGTAACGTGGTCTCCCCACCCCTTTCCATGATGTCCCTGACAAGGCATATGCTGCCTGGCACCAGGAACCCATAGACTTTGCTGGACCACATGGGTCCACCCCATGAAACCTCTAGGAGCCCCCACCCATACCATCTGCAGATGAGTCGTCCTGGGCCCTTCTCTCTCCCCCCACCCCATCCTCCACCCAGTCCCTGGCCTATTTATGAGACAGATGTGAGCTGGTGTCCTTTGGGGATGGCAGTAGGTAGGAAATAAGGTCTCACCCTGAAGCAGTCCGCTGAGTTCTAAGGAGGAAGCTGCAACATTTGGTTAACCATGGCCAGTGGACCAGCCTGGGGCGGGGGAGCCAGTGCTGACCTTGGAGGGGCACAGCTATGCATCCACACCTCTTCTGAGTAACAAAGGGGGGTAGTTCTTGGGGTCCCTGGTACCTGGGATGAGATTGAGTAGCACTGCAGGGGGAGAACCGGAGGGGGCTCTTCCGGAACTGTGAGAACACAGACCTATAACGTCGGATCACAAGTAGTTGGCCTGTCCCGTTGCCTAGGAGCTGGCTGGGCTTCAAGGGCATCACCTGTTTGGGGCTCAGTCCCACCAGGCCCTTGGCCAGTCTACCAGGATTTGATGGGACTTGGACTCCTTGGTGAGGGTTCAGATAGGGATAGCAGGCCCCCCTGCCCCCCGCTGCTGGCTCAAGCCCTACTTAGGGACAATCCTTGGGAATGCGCCTCACCAGATCCAGAGGCCACAAGTGGGCCATCCTGGACCCCAAATCACCATGGTTATCACTGTAGCCATCAGACCATAAACAACTCAAGCTTGATCCTGCTGACCACGGGAAGCTGGGGACAGGAAATCCAGCAGCAGCCAGACCCCCCTGCTACGGCCATGCCGGCTGCCCCTGGCCAGCACTGCACCACCCCCACCCCACTGGCCTGCTCACTGAGATGCCCATGGGACTCCTGCTTCCTCTAATCACACACACACCCCCACCACCACCATCCCACCCTACCCCCGACAGCCTCCCCTCACTCAGAAATGAGAGGGCTGAAATATCTGGGAACCGGCCTCCCACGCTTCCCCATTCTGTCTCCCAGGAGCGTCAGCGTCTTCCCCGAAAGGACCCTTTTTTCCCACATGGTGAAAAGGGAGAGGTTGGGCTAGTTAAAGCAGAGCCGGTCCCCAAGGAGGCCAGGGGCAGGCAGGCATGCAAGGTAGAAGGCCAGAAAACAAGGAAGTGTTTCATAAACATACGAGGTCTGCCTGAAAAGAAGCCAGAAGCCAGGTATGAACCTAGAGAGGGTGCGGGGCAAGCAGGAAGGCTGTGGACGGTGGTGGCCAGGAGAGCTGCGAGTGGAGGTGGGCTTGGCCTTGGCCTGGGGGGAGGGGCCCTTACAGAAGTCCGTGGAATCTCATGGATCTCTGCAACAACCTCTGCTCCCCCAGGGCCCACCAGGCTTGGCGGGCCAGACTGGGTTCCTCTGGACTGCAGGTCAGGGCTGGCCAGGAGGAAGATGTCCCCTTGGCTCGCTAGCCCAAGGGAGGAGGTTGTTCCAGCTCCCATCCATGTGTATTCTTAGCTTGGCCCAGACCCTGCCATGTTTACGCTGGGCCCTGTTTATTTTGCAAGCCAAGCTCACGCTCCCTTGGCCGATGCGAGGCGCAGAGTGCACTGGGAGAGTTGCTTTCTTCTCAGTTTTTTTGCCTGAAATGCTCACAACTCAAAAAGATAAGTGTGGTGGAGTCGGGGGTCCCCAAGCCTCAGCTGAGAGGTTGTCCCTAGTCTCCTACTACCTCCACTTTGGGGAGCAGACCTGGGACACCTTCTCCTACGGAACCCCACAGCTGCCCCAGACTCTCTGCTGAGCCGCTCTGGCCTTCCCCTCTGATGGCTGCAGTCCAGCTATCCAGCACTTGGCATCTGCCCCCAACTGCTCCCTCATTCCAGTGAAACTCTGCCATCTACTCAGGCCGCCAAGCCAGAGCCCTGGACATTAGCATCCTGGACAATCCCCTGTTTATCTCTCTGCTAGCCACCTCAACACAGCTCACCCTGACCTCTCCAGCCCCACTCCCAACTAAATTTATGTCTTTATCATCTCTTCCTTGAATTACTTTTCTAAACATTCACTGTGGTCTCCCTGGCTCCAACCTCTCCTCTGTCCCCACCAATCCTTCACGTTGTGTATATTTCTTTAAGCACGTTGACATTCATTTGCTAATATTTTGTCCAGGATTTTTATACCAGTGTTTATGTGTGGGGTACATACATAACACAGTTCTCCTTTCTTGTTCTTGTTGTTGTTGTTAAGTGCCATCGAGTCGGGTCCGACCCATAGCGACCCTGTACAGGGTTTCCGAGGGTGTAAATCTTTACGGGAGTAGAAAGCCTCATCTTTCTCCCGCGGAGCGGCTGGTAGTTTCGAACCGCTGTCCTTAAGGTTCGCAGCCCGATTCGTAACCACTATGCTACCAGAGCTCCTTGTACTAGCCATGTCAAATTCTGGTATTGATTTTATATGAGCCTCATAGAATGAGTTGAGAAATATTCCCTTTTTTTTTTTATGTATTCTGAAATATTTTGTCTAAGATTAGATTTTTTTCTTGACTATTTGGTGGAACTTTGAAGATAAAGCCATCTAATTGTGGTGTTTTTTCAATGGGAAGATTTTGTAACTACTAAATCCATTATTTTAATTACTATGGGACTATTCAGGTTTTCTATTTCTTCTTATGTCAGTTTTGTTGTATTTTATTTGCTAGAAATTTGCACATTTCATTTTGTTTCCAAATGTATTAACATTTACATATTATCTTTTTGATGTCTAGAACATCTGTAGTTTGTCCTCCTTTTATTCCCAGTTTTGTTTATCTGTATCTCCACTTTTTTCCACTCCTCAAGCTTGACAGATATTTGTCCATTTTATTGGTATTTTCAACCACCTTTTTGATTTTATTGATCCTCAGTGTTATCGGTTTCATTTTATTTTGTTTCATTCATATCTTGTTATTCTCTTTCTTCTACTTATTACCTTAATCTATTATTTCATTAAGTTGGATAATTTTAGTTTTCTTGTTTTCTAAAGTCTGCATTTAAGGCTAAAATTTTACTGCTAAATACCACTTAACGGAATTTCCCAATTTTGATATGTAGCATTTAGACACAGGACTGACTGCTAACCTCAAGGCCAGCAGTTGAAACCCACCAGCCTCTCTGTGGGAGAAAGACGAGGCTGTCTGTTCCCGTAAAGATTTCGTCTCAGAAACCCTGTCCTGGGTTTCTGAGTTTCCACTATGAGCAAGTTTGTATATTCTTTCTCGTCTCAATTAAAATCTCCTGTTTGTCTCGGGAATTACTTAGCAGTGGTGTGGCACTGTAGGGTAAGCACTGGACTGTTAACCACAACGTCAGAGGTTCAAACCCACCTGTCACTCCTTGAAGACCCTATACAGGGTCTCTATGGGTTGGAATCGACTCGATGGCACTAACAACCGCAATAACATGATTACTGTTAATGTTTAATGTGTGGTGTGTTGTTTTTGTTAGGGTGCTAATGAGTAGATGCCAGCTCATTGCCACCCTATGGACAACAGAGTGAAAGGCTACCTGGTCCTGGGCCAGCCAATCATTGTTCTGTGTGAGCCTGTTCTTGCTGTCACTGTCCTTGTCCATCTCACTGGAGGAGGCCGGGGGTGGGGGGGAACTACCTCTTTTTTTTAACTAACCTCCCTCTTTACGAAACATGATGTCCTTCGTCAGGAACTGGTCCTTCCTGATAATATGTCCGAAGTATGAGAGATAAAATCTCAGTAATCCTCACCTTCAAGGAACATCGGGCTGGTCTTCTCCCAGCACAGATTTGTCGGTCCTTCCGATGGTACATGGTACTTTTAATATTCTTATCCAACACCATAATTCAAATGCATCAATTCTTCTGCAGTCTTCTTTACTCACTGTCCAACTTTTGCATGCATATGAGGTTACTGAAAATACCATGGCTTGAGTCAGGCGCACCTT